ACTATTCATGGGAGTCAGTGCAACTCAGCACGAATAATCATTACAGAATCAGATGATAAATCATGTGACAAAAGCAGTTCACTTCATCATATGTAATGTGTTCTTATAAGAGCAGTAGGATTTATATAAAGTAAAGTTGTGAAATCACCTAGTTCCTCCTCAGAACACCTGAGGTGTGTCTGTGGCTCAGGTGCTTGTGGAAGGAGCTAGGGAGCCACAGGTTGTGAATTTAAACCAGGATGTGGGCCCCTTAGCTTTTTCAAGATGCAGCCAAGGAAGTTTAGGTTAGATATTAGGAAAAACTTTCTCACTTAGAAGGGTAGTAAAACACTGGAACAGGTTACCCAGAGAGGTTGTGGAGTCTCCGTCCTTAAAGGTTTTTAAGACCTGGGTAGACAAAGCTGTGGCTGGGATGATCTAGTTGGGGATGGTCCTGTTTTGAGCAGAGGGTTGGATTAAATTAGTGGTTCTCAACCTTTTTTGTACCAGGACCCATTTGTAAACAGTCCCGGCCCACAGCCCCTTGGCCCTGCTGGTGCCTCTCACTCCCCCCTGCCCTCCTGGGCCATGCTGGTGCCCCTCCCAACCTGTAGTCCCCTGTCCCCCATCCAGTCCTGCCAGGGGGGGCTCCCAGCTGCCCCCATCCCACTCAGGCTAGAGCTTGGTGGCTGCAGCAGGTCCAGCCCATGCAAACAGAAACCCAGCTGCCCCCATCCCACTCAGGCTAGAGCTTGGTGGCTGCAGCAGCTCCAGCTCATGCAAGCAGAAGTGGAGCAAGTCCAGCCCAAGTATGGGCTGGAGGGAGGAGGAGGGGAGGCCTATGGCACCCCTCCTCCTCCCCCCCCACTCTGGGTTGGGGTTCCCATGCTGTGCCAAGCAGCCTGGTTATGGACCCACCTGCTCCATGAGCAACGGCTCTCAGCCACCTCACCCCAGCAAGTACGGGTACTGACCCCAGTGCCACTGACCCAGCCACGCAGCTTCCTGTCACTGCCCCCTCTTCCCCCGTGCCTGCAAGGGGAAACCCATGCTTTCCCTCATTTTTCTGAATATTCTTGCGACCCATGGGTTGAGAAATACTGCTAGACCTCCTGAGGTCCCTTCCAACCCTAATTTTCTATGATTCGAAGTCTGCATTAGCATTGAAAAACTAGCTAGAAGGGATAGGTTTTGAGAAGTAATCAGAAGATGGACAGAGGAGGCTGTTTGAGTACAGGATCAGGAACTTTTTTTCCAAGTACAGAGAGAACTATAGGTGAAGGACACAGAGAAGCTAAAGGGAAGGCCTCGGGAAGCAGGAGAAGAAAGGGGCTGAGATGGAGACATGGGCAAAGCACAGCAGATCCTAGAGTCTGAGGACAAGGTTTCTGAAGAAACAGGTATCCAAGGTGCCAAGCACAGGTGACTAGCAAAAGATGCAATCACAGCAGATGGGAAAG